CCTCCAGAACAGCAGGCCTTATAACACTGCGGACTCAGCTCCTCAGGGATCACTTTAGGAAGCACTGGCCTTAAAACCTCAGTTAGAGCTGTGCAAAACCTCACACTGCCAAAGTAATGGATATCATGCTGAAGAGCAAATGGCCCTGTATCAGACGATATTTCAATATTTCTCTCAGGAACAGAAAGAAAAAGTGGAAGTTGTGCTTTGAGCTCTGCTAGAGAAACACCAGAACACTGGCCCCAGGCCTTGCCAGTGCTTTCCAGACAGGGATTGAAATGCTCCTACCTTCTGAATCTGCACAGCCAGCTCCCGAGTTGGTGCCAAGATCAAGGCTTGGGTCTCACGAACCTGGTTAAAACACGGAATCACACGGAAGTTAATCACAGGCCAGAGAGTCAAGCATGCAAGAGATGATGGAACTCACAGAATCGAAGCTGTGAGATGTCACAGCTAAAGGATTAATCACAGAATTTTATGATAAAAAATAAGAAAAAAGTGTGTACATTTATTGGAAAATAGAACCAAATTTCAAGCCCTTCAGTTCTGTGTGTTTGGTTCAGATAAACACCTTGCATTCCTCAAGGACTCCAGGACAAGTTTTGAAGTGTCACCTCTAAATGTATTATGAGCACTTTACAGAAATAAAGCAAAAGCTGTCCTTTCCACTTAGAACATGCAACCTTTATTTTTATGTCCCCAGTGACAGATAAGTAATAATCCCAGCCCATTGAAAACCACCCTTTTATTCAATTACATCCACACATCCAAGTTATACCCCAAAACTACTGGATGGACACGATGCCCCTGAAGGAAACAGCTGTCAGTCAAAATCTAGGTTTGATTCTGTGCAATGTGTGGTAGTTGTTCAGACAGGCTGCTGATGCCATTAGAACTGTCTGAAGACAGTAATGCTTGCTGAGAAATTTACTTAGCCCTAAGAGGTGAAAGAGGTCAGCTGTTAAAGACAACTTTATGATTACAAGTCACCATCTGAACTTATTTTGCCAGACTGGCTTTAACAGTTAAACTGTTAGTCTGGTGAAGTTCTCAGTCAGAATTCTGTCTGAGGTTCATAATTAAAATATTTCAATGTAAAGCTTCATTTATTCACTCTTAAAGAATACACTCTTATTATAAAGACCAGTGATTTAGTAAAAATTACTTTTAGCATGTGCTGCTATGAGATTACCTGTATATCCAGGCATTGTAGAACAGATATGGAGAATGTTGCTGTCTTCCCTGTTCCTGACTGTGACCTGAGAAACAGATATTTGGTGAATACTGTGGATGTCTGGACAAACAGCATAGGCAATTTCAACATATTCAACCCCTATGCTCTCTCCCACCCCTCCACTGCAAAGAACTCAACAGTGCCAACAAAGGCTTGTTATGATCACAGTGTGATCTGCTGTCAAGCAGCTTTGAGAACTGCAATATCAGAGACAGAACACTCAAGGGTCCCCAGCTCTGGCACGTTCACTCCTTATCAGACCAACATTTTAACTTTCTGCCATCAGCCACACATATACTTAATTTCAAGTAAATGACAGATAAGCCAATGCAATTTGCAAGGCTAGTAATTTGCACTAGTGACCAAGAAAGGATTTTTTCAGCAGGATGCATATCCTTCCTTGTCTCTAAGACTTTTTTTACAGTGACTAAACCTAATAAACTTTGGTGTTAACCACTGTTAGGATCATAAGTTAGGCAATTTCAGCGTTTTGCTTGTCGCATCATATAATCACAGAACAGTTTGGATTGGAAGAGAATTTAAAGAACATCCAGCTCCATCCCTCCTGCCATGGGAAGGCACACCTTCCACTACACCACGCTGCCCAGAGCCCCATCCAGCCTGGCTTTGAGCACATCCAGGAAGGGCACATCTACAGCTGCTCTGGCCAATCTGTCCTAGTGTCCCATTAACCTCAGGTCATTCCCCACACCCTGCCAGGCAGGAGCCCAGGCCCACGGGTAGCCGATCCCACTTCCAGCCTCAAGGCAGGAAGTATGACCCATACCCCACGCCCCGCCCCCGGCCGCACTCACTGGGCGATCACGTCCCTGCCCTTGATGATCTGCTTGATGGCTCGCTGCTGGATGGCCGACGGCTTCTCGAATCCTGCGGGGGCCAAAGGACACCGTTAGGGCAGGCCCCGACACTGGCGGGCGGCGGCCGCATGGCGCAGGTGCGAAGGGACCACATCCCGGCCCTGCCGCGGCCCATGAGCCCCTCCGTGCCCTCAGCTCGTCCCCTTGGCCCCGCGTCCCCTGCCCCCTATCCCTTCCCCCTATCCCTTCCCCCTCCGTCCCCGTCGCCTACCATAGGCATAGATGCCGCGTAGCAGGTCCTCCCGCAGGCCCATGGTGTCGAAGGTGGGCGTCACGTCCACCTCCTCGCTCGTCTCGAACTCCACCTTGGTCATGTCCTCCTCCTTCATGAGGCGCTTCCGTGCCGAACCACCCGAGGACCCCGCCATGGCCGCGCCGCCTCCGCACAACGCTCGCCGCGCGCGCCCTTCGCCGCCACTGCGTCTGCGCGGGGACGCGGCCGGAGCGGTGCGGGGCGGGGCGTGCTCGTGAGGCCACGGGGCGCACGCAGGGAACCACGGGATGGCCGCGGCTTGGAAGGGCCCTCTGGAGATCGCGCAGCCTAGCCGGGCCTGGAATGTCTCCGGAGTGGGAGCGTCAGCGACCTCCCTTCCTTGGGCAGCCCAGGGTTCCGGTGCCCTGCCACGCTAAGTGTAAAGCAGTTGTTCCTCATGCTGAGGTGGAACTTTTGTGGTTTAGTTTATGGCCACTGCCCCTCGTCCTGTCTCTGCGTATCACTGTAAAGCGCCTGGCACCATCCTCGGCACCCGCCTTTGAGGTATTTGTATGTATGATGAGATGCCCTCAAGCTTTTCCTCTCCAGATTATCAGGCCCACCCCCCTCAACCTTTCCTCAGAACTGAGATGCGCCAGTCCCATCATCATCTCTTTCGCTCTCCGCTGGACCCTCTCCAGGAGCTCCTTGTTTTTCTTGCCCTGAGGAGCCCAGACCTGGACACAACACTCTAGAAAGAGCTGAGTAAAGAGGCAAGACTAGTTCCCTCCGCCTCCCGCCGCTGCTCTTCCCAATTCACCCCAGGAAATGCATCGGGGGGGCTGGACGGGGATGTGCTCGCGGCCTACGCATGCGCGGGGCGTCAGGGCCGAGACGGGCCGAACGGGGCCGGGCCGGGCCGAGCCGATGCTGATGCTGATGCTGATGCTGCAGTGTCTGCGTCGTCGCGGATGCATAACCCCGTTTCCCTCGGTATGTCAGTGTCTCTTGAGCAGCCAAGGCTCAGCAATTCCATGGGATGAGGTTTGTAAAAAGGATCCTGGTTGATGGCCTTGATCTGTAGCTCCATGAGGTGATTTCCACTAACCTTGGGTAAGGAGTAAGTAAGTCGTTGCCAGTCTCCTACACAGGACAGTTCGTTTGTGTTTGATGTTTTAAAACGATCCTGTAGGGAATCCAGACACGAGTTCAGACATCACTTAGAAAAGTTTCCGTTTCCCTGTGCCCCAACTCCCTCCGCAAAAAAAAACCAAAAAACAACCAACCCAGAAAAACTGAAGGAGGCTAAAGATCAGGGTTTACTGAGAACAGTTCAGGCCAAGATACTTTTCACAAATGGGTGATTCCATAGACATCAGTCAGGCATCTGAACGTGGTGACCTGGGGAGAGTTCTTCACTTGCAATACAGTTTTTAGATATGGTTTGTACTGCAGCCACTGCATGGTGACTGAAAGGCTCCCTTGGGAGCTGCCTGAGTAGGAGCAATCCCTGCCTGGGTGGTGTGGGATTGTAATACAGAACAACAGGGGGCTGTTGAGCCTCGTCTTTTTATGGGGGGGAGAGGGATGTACATCCTAGCAAAGGAAAACCATCACCCCAATTCTAATATTGGCCTCAGAAGTGCTGATGTATCTGCATCTCATGTGTGACACAGATCGTTCTCTTTTTAGTGCACGAACAAGCTTTATCCACGTTTTCTTTGTTTGATGTAAAATACTTCTTTCTCCTTAGTGCTTTCAGTTCCAAGGACTGGCAAGGCATTTGCTTTTGAAGTAACACCACATTAATGTGGTAAGGTGGAAGTGAATCTCTGCTTACCCTGACAGCCAGGACAGCTCAATCCAGGATCTTAAGCAAAAAAAAAGAAAAAAGAATAGTTTCAGGTTCTTTTGGCTCAAGACTTTGAGGTAACAGCTCTCTGAAGACAGGCTTCTTCCAAACCTGGTACAAAGTTGTTGCTTTTGGAAATGTTGTGAGTTCTGTATCTGCTTTCTGGTTTCTTCTCTTTGGTCAAACAAAATGTTGGCTGGCTTCCATGTGAGAGTTTTCACAAGACCCTGTAAGTGATATAACTTTCAGTGCTGGTCTTTCTGGATACTGGGTGTTGATGGGTCAGCAGGGAGACCAAACTGAATGGTCTGTGCCTGCAAACATGCTCTTGCAGCTGCCACAAGGGCAACTCAGGACATCTCCCTCCTGGCAGCCTGGGGTTCTTTCTAAAATGTTCTTCAGTATTGATTTGGTCTCTGAAGTTTCCCTTTGGTATTGAAAACCATCAGTTTTCTTCTGCCAATTTGGCCCCACTGCTGTTATTCCTGCTGTTTTTTTTCCTCAGCATCAGAGAGGAACACTCAGGGAAGCAGCCTGTCCTTCTGGCCAAGCTGCCTGGATCCACATCACTTCTCCAGCATCAGCAAAGGCACTGGATTTGCCAAGCCTCAACTTGTCATTGCCACCTGAGCCCTGGAAGAACGTAGAGGAGATCCTCAGGGTCCCTGGTTCTGCCTGGATCGGTGGTGGTGGGTGAAGTGAGCAACTGCCTGGGGTGGGAGAAGCGCTTGCAGCCAGGTTCAGGATGGGGGAATGCAGAGTGGATGTGATCTAGGCTTATCAGTGGGATGAGGGGGGCATCCCTGAAAGACTGGAGGGTGGTCAGATGTTGTAACAACAGAAATTCTGTTGGAACTGTTAGAAGAGGGAGGAAGTGATCGCAACCTATGCTGTTCTTGCAGAGGCAGAGCAGCAGCAGAGAGGATCAGGTAAGCCTGGCAGGGCTGCCTGCAGCTTTGGACAACACACTCATGGTCCCCAGGAGTGGCCTCCAGCATGCAGCTGGCACCTCCTACGGATACAAACTGCAGTGCCTCTGGTAAGGGCACTGCTCCCTGTGAGGAGAACCCTTCTGTGGGCTGTGTGAGGAGTCTTCTTATGCCCTGCTCACTGTGTCTGCAGGACCCAGGTGAGACAGATTGCCAGGGAGAGGGACAAGGCAAGGCTCAATTTGGAGAAGGCAGAGAGACACTGCTTGCAGCTGGGCAGAGAGCTGGATGAGCAGTACATTGCTCTTGAGCACACCCAGAGTAAGATCAGGTAGGAGGGGTTCTTTGGGTGGGGTGGGAAAAATGTGCTTACACATCTCAGTGTATTGGGTGGTTAAAATTACGAGAGACAGGGCAACAGAGAGACTTCTTAAGAGAGGGATTATTGCCTCATGGCATCAGCCTTACAGAAGGGTGATGAGACATTAAAGGTGTTACATCCAATGCCATAATATCAGAAGCCACTTAATTCTTAGTTACAATGCCTTATGTTAGTTTTTTAGCCAATCTTTCAATCTTCAATACTTCTACGAAACTTTTTAGCATCTTTTTACAGCAATCATTGATTGCTTTTCTTTTTGTGGCTTTACTGCAATGTGTCATTTTTCATCCAATCGTATAACACTTTATAAACCTACATAGCTACATCTTAAGCTTCTGACTAACTTTATAACAGGTTCTATTGCTAAACTAAATCTTTTACTATCTTACTTAACATATTGCTTTGCTTACATAATACATATCTCTGTTTGCTTAAAACATATTTCTACTTAAACTACAAACTTATATTCTTGTTTCATATGTGTTTCCCTTTTACTGTTCTAATTCTCCAAGCCTTCTCCAAACTCTTAGGTCAAACATTGTATCCATCTCTATCTCTGGGCCTGTATGCACAAGGCCTTGGGAGCTCTGTGTGCTTACATTTCCCACACTGGTGTCTCTTTTGGAAATCTCACTTGTTTTGCCAATGTGTCAATGGCAGGAAAGTCTTTGAAGACCCCTTTCCCTCCCCTATGGTCTCAGCATCCTTCCAACCAAGCTCTCATTTCCTGCTTTGTGCATAGTGAGAGGGAGTGTCTGTACCTTGTGGCCATCCAGGAACATGCTCTATCTGCCCCAACCATGTTGTTTTTTCCCCCAGGGATTTTCAGGCAGAAATAGAGGCAAAAGAGCTGCTTTTGCAGCAAGCAGTGAGTCACCAGGCGAAGCTGGAAGCTGATACACGGCTCCTCCAGGGCAAAGAGGCCAACCTGCAGGGGAGACTGAACCATGTGATGAACGTAAGTAAAATTGCTTTGGATGAAGCATCTTCACTCTTTCAGCGGTGGCAAAGCAGAGGTGGTGACAAATATAGATGGTTCTCTTCGCATTTATTGAGAAGAACAGGAATTTTTTGCAGAAGAATCATCAGACACATCCATACAGTTGTGTTAAATACAGAGCTTGTTACCTTGCCATGCCATTACTAAATTGCTGTATTGTGTGTTGGCAGTGGTATGGCCCTTGGTAATAGCTGAAAACACAATGACCAAAGCTAAAATTTGCCAGGGACCATATCAAAAGCAGAGATGATAGTGTCTGCATGCCTGGGATTACCCCAGTTCTGTTCAGTGTAGAAGTACAGATGGAGATAACTCAGGACTTCCTGCCTTTGTTAGTTGTGAAGGAGACCACAATTTTGGGGAGCAGAGGTAGAGATGATCCTGTGGGGCCGTCTAGCTCTTATTGTGCAAAACCCACTCCTGTCCTTCGGAGAGATGAGCCCATGTGATATCAGCAATGTGCTGTCTTGTCATAGTTTAGGAATGGTGCTCCCCAATTTAATTCTTCTACCAAGACTCTCCAAACCACATTGCTGCTTGCTCACTCCCTCTCCCTGCTTTCAGTTGCTGGAGAGGAGAATTGGAGGCACAAAAGGCAAAGACCATGGGTTGAGATGAGAACAGTTTACTGGAAACAGCAATGAGATAAGAAACAACCAGGAACAGCAACAATATTAACCACAAAAATGTACAAAGGAGAGGGTGATTTACATGCAAAATGCTTGATGCAGAGCAGCCACATTTTCTCTGGAAGGCATGTCCTTCTCCCTGGAATTGCGAGAGTGCCTTCCCTCTGTCCCCGGCAATGACTGAGGTGGTACAGAATGACATCTGGGCCTTAGCCACATTCCCTCCTGGTTCCTGCAAAAATCACCCCTATCCTGGCCAAAACCAGGCCATGTCCAGGGTCTCCTGGGAGCTGTGCTATGTTTGGCATGCTGATATATATATATGTATATATGTAGCTGTTTTACAGCTCCCTGCTGAGGACCTGAGGCTGATAAACCCATCCTGCCATGTCAGGACCCACTGCATCAGGGAAATCTCCGTTTTATCTGCAGGAGAACACACAGCTACAAAACAAGGTCACAGAGATGGCTGAGAAACTGTCAGCCTCTGAGGAAATGGTGTTGGAGCTGCAAAAAGAACTCAGCCACATTGTGAAGGATAAGGTAACCTTTCTCCATTGCAGTCAAATAAGAACTTTTCAGAAATTCATTAAAAAATTGATCTTATATATTTTGTGTCAGTCACTATGGTGAACTTTCCTGCACATTAATGACAACCTGGAAGCTGGGAAAAAAAAAAGGGGTATGAGAAAAGTTTTCAGTTTTAGAGAATTCTATAAATCTGCAGTCTTCAAGGGAAAACTTTATATCAGTTTCCAGAGAAGTTTTATTTTTCACTAGTATTGAAGTAAAGGGTTTGTTTTAGTATCCTCCACTCCTAAAATGAATCTGGGGAAGGAAGTGAGTCTGTGACCTTGTTAGCCAGGAAAGCCTTCCTATAGTTTGGTGTCTCACATGTGGAGAAAAATGTTTTTCCTCCTCTTTCTGACCCATCCCACAGCTGATGCACCCCTTAGGGAGCCTTCTGTTGAATGTATGGATGTAGCACCGTGACCCCAGTGATTTAGTAGAGCTTTTGACTGTCCGTTTGGAGATGATTTTCTTGATGAGAAGTGTTTCCTTGTGCAGCTGGAGCAGGGGGAGGCCCACAGCCCAGAGTCCCTGAAGCAGAGTGAGCGCTTTGCTGAAATTATCCTGGAGTACGAGCGGCAGTGCCAGGTAGGTATAGGCAGCTGCAGGTGTGACAGTGCTGCTCTCTGCAGCACATCTGTTGGTCACTTTGGCCTGAGGGGGTGGAAGGAAGCAGACCTGATCATAGGGCAGCCCTCTTACCTTGCTCAAGAGTCCTCACTCCTGAAGCCCTCCATGGGTTGTTTGCTTTGCTAGGATTTTGGCAGGAGAGAGTAGGGGTGAATCATAAATTCCTTCCTGCCTATAACCGTGGACTATTTTGTTAGGGAACCATGGTACCTCTGTTTTTAAGGACAGACCACTCTGGGCTCTGTTGGATTTCTTCTTGAGCTGAAGGAGGAAGCTGTTATCCTAATTTGGAAACCATATTAACAGCTAAAGTCTTCTATCTTTTTGTTTTTCCCTTCCTTGTGCTTGCCCCCACTTAAAAAAACCCTAAAAAACTTGTTGCTGCTGAACTCTGCTAGAGAATCAAGGTAAGCCAGTCCAGATATCTGGTGTGTGTGTGTGTGTGTGGTCCAAGAATTGTTGCTGTGTGTATTATATCTCCTGCAGGGTCATGTGCTCCTTCCCAGAGCTTGGGGCTCTCTGGGGCATGAGCACAACCTCTGTTTTCCTTCTTCCATTTTTAACTTGTGTATCTTTAACTTGTGCTAGGTGCTCTGTTCTTTGAGTCCTGTGCTTGTCACATTGCCTGTTTGTTCCCAGATGCTGTGTTTGGCTGGGGAGCACCCCTGAGCAGGGACAGTGACAGTCACATCCCCTCAGCAAGGGCTGAATTGCAGACTTTCAGCAAAGCCATTCTGTGGATGCATCAGGCAGCTCTTCTCCAAGCTGTAATTAAAGGCAAACGTTCTGAAGCACTATCAACATTGCTCCAGGTGGCACCAGAGGATTGAATATGCATGGTGCTGCAATTTTTCCTCTAGTTGAGCAGCCCCACGAGAATGCTGATTGATGGAAAGGTTTGACCTTCAGGCTTCACCTGCCCCTGGGAAGGCACCCATTCGGGTTTACCCTGAAGGATAAATTGAATTTAACCCTCATTGAATGCTCTCAGCCTCCCTTCCTTGTTTTGAACGGAGATTAAACAAACGGGCTTTGCATTTGTCTACATCTCCTCAGTAATATTTGTTAATTGGAAGTGTCCTAGTTCATAGTCTCTTGCAGCACATCAGTTTCCTGGGTGGCAGGATATGGGATGTTATTGGATGTCTACTTAAAGTGGACAGTCCAGAAGAAGGTAGGATGCCTTGTATGCTGTTGCTTCCATTACAGGATAGAGAATGTGAAGTGAAGCAAGCAGCTGCCCATTTCCAGACACTTCCATGGCAGTGGCTCATTGCACTGGTGTGGTGGTTCATTACTAGGTGTTCAGCTCTGGAACTCCTTGCTGATGCAGATGGTATAAATTCCTGTCCTTAGGGTGTCTCTGGCACCAGGAGACCAGCAGGACATGCCTCATGCTGTACTTCCCATGGGATTGACACCTTCTTACCTTGTTTTATTCCTTCTGCAACTTGGGAATGTTCCCTCCCAAAGGCCTGTGGGCCTTGCTTCACTGTGAATCCTGCTGGTGGCCTTGTCTGCATAGAATAGTGCTTGTTGGGCAGCCTGTGTGCCCCCAAGAGAGTCTTGAGGATGCAAACAGAAGCCTCTGGGCTTGTGCTGAGATCCTGATATTTCTTCTGTGTTGGATTCTACCAATGGTTATTTAGGTCAGGAGGGTCACAGGAGGCCCAGCCCCCTGAGGTGTCTGCAAACACCCAGTTTTTTTGTGCTTTTGCATTCAGGGGCGGTTGCTTTGTGCTTTACAGTATGTAGTGATGGTGATCTTGGAAATCTGGGGTTATATTTCTTCTTTTCTTCGGCTCTTCCAAACTCTCTCATGTCTGTCTTTGTTTGGGAAGGCTGTGCTGGGGCTGAGGGAGGCTCTTCATGCTCTTTGTGCTGCAGGAACTTCGTCCTGTGTCCTGAGCAATGTTTGTTTCAGGTGCTGTACAATCAGAACGGAGCACTGCGAAGGGAGCGGCAAAGGCTGCACCTGCAGCTGCAGGAGAGCAGAGCTGAGGGAGGGCTGCCAGCAGCAGGTAACATGCAGGAGGGCTCAGTGACCATCCTCTCAGCAAGAACAAAGTTCCCTCTGGATCCGAGTTTGCATGGGAATGTGGGGAGGCTTGTTGTGCCTGAACTACTGCTTGCCATTTCTGGTACTGGGCAGTCATGGGAGGAAAGAAGGAGAACATGGGTGGTGGGGAGGAGGGAGATGGAGGAAAGGAGGGTTTTCCAACCTGAGAGTTGGTGATGGAACTTGTGAACTAGGCAGCTATGGGTGAATTGGCAGATTTTCAGTGTTCAAGATGTTGGGGAAACAATGCGATAAAGAGGAAGTAGTCCCAGACTGTGGGTTGGAAAATTCAAGTTGAATATTAGATAAAAGCTCCTGGCTGAGAGGGGTGATGCAGCCTTGGGATTAGTTGCCAGATAGATGAGGAATGCCCATCTTTTGGGGTTGTGTGGACTGGATGAAGCTGCAGCCATCCTGATCTTGTAGGCCTGTCTTGTAGGTCTACCCTCTCTGCCATCACACCCCTCTCCAAGCCTTCTTGTTCCTACTTTTGTGTTTACAGAAATGTCACTCCCAGTGGAGCAGCTCCAAAAGCAGCTGCAGGACCTGAAGGTGCAGCTGGAAACCAAGGTGAGTGGGGTGGGGGGAGATGTCCTGACTGCTTGGTAAGCACAACTGCTACAGCATGACTGATGAGACATCTGCTCCAGTGGGGTTGCTGGAGAGAGAGTTCAGGCTAGGGAGCAGGGTGGTACCTCATCAGTCTTGTGGGGTTATTTCATGTGCTTATCCAGCCTGTCTTAGCCGGTAGGAGGATTTGGAGCCTTTGCCTCACTGGCTGGCAAAAGTTGTCTGGAAATCACTGTTACCTTGTGACAGGTTTGTGTGGATCACATCAGAGATCACTCAGTGTTGCTGTCACAGTAAAACCAGGGACAGGACCAAGAGGAGAAGCAGCCAGGTGTCTCCTGATGTAGGGGCTGTATCAAAGCCCTGTCACCCTTGGCTTGCAGCACACTTCTAACCTGCTTGCTCTGAGGAGACAGTGTCAGCTCAGCCTCCTCTTCAGACAGCTGTGAATGCTCATGGGAGAGGCCTCAGTTTCCACATTTACTCCTTTTGCTGCTAAACTGAGAGGTCAGTGATGCTTGCTGGGTTTTGTGCTGCAGCACTGCAAGAGAAAATCCTAAGCTGCCACGCAGGTGACGGAACAGTTCAGGGAACAAAAAGCTGCCTACAGATCTTCTGCCTGCTTTATAGTCCTGCCTTTGTGCACATCAAATCCTGGAGTTTCCAGTGTTCACAAGGGAGTTGTGGGGAGCAGCAGCTTCTCACCACCACATCCTGACAAGGAACTACTCTGCAGTGGAGGAAGGATATAAGGAGCAGTGGCAGATGATGCCCTGGCCTCTTCCTTCTCCTCTCTGGGGTTCCTTGCAAACAGGAGAATGGGGAGAACTGTGCTGCTTGCTGGCAAGAAATGGGACCCACTGGTTTCTGCTGTATGAGACTGATTGCTGCCCTAAGTTCAGCAGGGACCAGAACTGCTTAAAGAGGGTGCCCTGTCCCCTGTGGGACCAATAGATCAATCTGAATTGGAGCTATTGGAGAAGAGGAAAGCTCTCAGGAGTGTGGTGCTAATATCCCAATCCTATCTCCTTCCAACAGATGAACTATTACAAGGAAGAAATAGAGTTAATGTGAGGAAAGCTTCAAGGCTGAGATGTGCAAGATGGAAGGCCAGGAAAGAGATCTTGAAGAAACAGTTGCAAACAGTTGCAAACCTGGGCTATAATAATAATAGCCTGAAAGAGCAAAAATGGGAATGGAGCCTGGAGCTGGAGGAGAGGTTTGAGATGGAGCAGACTATAGTGGGACAGCAGCACACGGAAGACATTTGTCATCCAGGGCAGTAGCTGGACTAAGGCAGAGAAGAAATAAAGATGCAGTGCAGGGACAAACTGAGCCTGAGGTCTGGCACCCTTCTCTTTCTGGGCCTAAGGAGTACATTAGGGATGCATCTCCTGCTCATACCAGAGTAGGTTGGGCTGATTTTTCACAGGGCTGGAGAGCTGTTTTAATTTGGAAGAAAATTGGGCAGAATTGCAGGGCTGCAGTTGTTTGAAATGAGACATCTAAACTCCCCTTACACGAGTGCTTTATAAGTTTCCTTGTATGTTCTACAAGGTTATGTTAGAGGCAGTGCCCAGCGAAGACTGTATCTTAAAACAGTTAAGAGATGTAAAAGAGCTTTGATTTGTGTTTTCTTATTACCCCTTTCTAGGTCCTTAAGCAAACCTGCCTCTACTTGCTAGATGATCACAACTTGATATCTTAAAAGCAGTAAAAAATGTCTTAAATTTCTCCATATAGGTAAAAGAGACTGGCTTGTGAAAGAATGAGGTTGTCACTGAAAAACTGTTTATCCTCTCTTCCTCCTGCCTCTGCCCGACTGTGTCTCCCTTTAGGAGCAGTGTTCCCCTTGGGAATATGCAAGCAGAGGATTTTGGTAGGTCATTATCCCTGTTTTAAGGATGAGATAAGGGGTAGGTGAAGGAGAAAGGAGGTGATTTGGCTGAAGTCTGTGGTAGACCAGGGAAACAAACCCAAATAGCAGGAATACAAGGCATTATGGTGAATGGCAGATGGACTGACTGTGGGGAGCTTTCAGAGTTGCTGGAAAAGATGTGATGGGTGTGGGCTTTTGAGAAGTGCAAAAGGTGTGGGAACTTTCTGTGAAGTTTAACAAATTGCCTTGACTTTGCAACATAAAAAATCCTTTGTATTGCATCTCCAGCAAATGTACATTCAGAGGCTGGCTGAGCTTTTCAAGCTGATAACTAACCCATGTCAGCAAAATGGTTTTTATCTTTAGGAAAGATGCAGATGTTGAGCATGACCAAGAGCTGTCATGGAGTGAATGCCAACATGAGGACAGCTGTAAGGCTTTATTGCAGAAACACTGGTGTGAGAGGAGGTGATTTCCCAACATAAAGGCTCCAAGATGAGGCCTTCAAGAGCAGGGCACCCATGAGAGGCAGTAGTGGAAGCAGAAGAAAAAAGACTAAGTCTCTATGGAAACAGGAAGCTCAAGTTATAAGAAAAGGTTAATGATGAACATGCCAAAATGTGTGTAATGCTGGCTGTTGAGTATAAAATATTAAAAAGGCATCAGGATGAAATGGGAGTAATGCAGAGACAGTAAAGCTGAGGGCTCTGGTGTTGAAAGGGACAAGGTGTCTGGAGAGCTGTCCTCTAGGGGAAAAGGAGCTGATCCCCTAAGATTCAGATGAGCAGGTAGACCAAAATCTGTTGCAACATCAACACTGAAGGAACAGAGAAGAAATGAACAGTTGTATGATGGACATACCAGTGCAGACAGTTGCAGATGTTTGTTGTAACAAATGCCCTGTTCAATCTAGAAGCTGGAGCCAAAGTGGAAAGCATTTGTCTGGGAGAAATGGAATCTTGATAGAAAAGGGAATGCTTGGGAAGGAGGCAGAGAGGGCACGGCTGAATGCCTTCAAACAGCAGACATCTCAAGGACATCATCTTGCAGAGCAAGAAGAGAAGGAAAAGAACTCTGGGAGACAGAGTGGCATAACAACATAGGAGGAAACCTGACATTCAGGCTGTCAAAACAGAGCTGAAGAGGAAGAGGAACAGCTTGAAACTGGAGCTAATGGAGCTCAAAGATATCATGCAGTAGTTGGAAAATGAACCCAGAGCTCAAGAGAGTGTCAGGCTTGAGTGCATAGGTAGTTTGAAGAACTAACATGCTTCTGCAAAGAAAAAGCAGATGCCTTGTGAGACACAAGGCTGCTTAACACCATGATGATGATGATGCTGAATGCTGTAACAGCAGCTATGTTCTCTCTGGATGTTCTAACAGCAGCTTTGTTCTACTGCACATATGAAGTGGACTATGAACTAGGATACTTCGAATTAATAAATATTACTGAGCACATGTAGACAAATGCAGAAGCTATATTATGTCTTTTACTGACCGTGGGTGTGTGGTCAGGGAGCTGAGATATGCTCCTGTGGCTGTGGCTGGCTGTACACTCATCTCCTCTGCCTTGTACATGGATGTTGGAGATGCCACAGGAAGCACAGCATGTGAATTCCAATGTAAAACTTGGAAAGCAGCTGCACTGAGATGAGCAAACACCACATGGAATGGTCCTTGTGCTTCAAAAAGAGAGGAAAAACTTCCTCACACAGCTCCTCTGCCTGCCACAGGCACTGCCACAAACTGCAATGCTGTCCTCCCTGCCAGGATGGATGGTCTGTTATCCTGTGCCTTCCCTTGAGGAATTTGGGTCCTATATGGCTCTGGTGTTTAGCAGCAGTTATTGGATAGGACTGTCAAACACAGGACTAAGCTTCATTCCCACAAGTGCCAGTATTCATGGGAGAATGGGAGTACCTGGAGTGGAAGGATAATGGAAGACTAGGAGTACCAATAGAAGTGGAAGGATAATGAGGTCACCTTGGATTTGGCGTCACAGCTGTTGTGTCCAGCACTGTAAAATCACCGAGGCCTCACAAACAAGCTGGTTTCTCCAGACCTGGCTTTATTGCAATTGAGGGGTTGGCCTCACCACCTGTTACCCTGAAATGAAGTCTTGATGAGTCAAGTCACTTTGTATCCACAGGACTGCAAAATAATTTTAGCCAGCTGGAAGCCACATAAATTCAGTCTGATGCTCTTTGTCCTTATTCCCCTTTATTTCCCTTCCCTTGAAGACCTGCTCCTTCTCTACTCTTGTCTCTTGATTGACCCCACATGTTTTGCCTGAGTTATGGGAAGGTTTTTTCTCTTTTTTTTTTTTTTGTCCTTGCTGTCATTGGAAACCAAATTGGAAAAGATCAGGGAGGCAGCACAGAATGCCAGAATAAATGGGGCTTGTGCATGGTTTTCTCACTCTGCATCTCACCCTGCACAGAAGACCTGTGCTGGCTGCTGGAGAACAGCTTGCTGAACAGTTAACATGGGATGGATTTCTTCCTTAGGAAGCTTTAGATAGGTACTGGGGTCACCCACTGAGCCATAAATCTGGGGACAGATAGGTTTCTGGTGTGGATGATCCCAATCTGATAAGCCATCTCTTCCATTGTTCTTCATCCCTTGATTTTTAGGTCTCTGAGAGTGTTGCAGGACTTTGGATGTGCCCAGGCTGTCTGCCCTGGGCTGAGGCAGAGGCACTCGACTCATTCCTGCATCAGTTCAGGCCGTATCTGTTTTGGCTTGGCTTTGCCTCCTGTTGCAGGCCAAAACCAGATGTGGGACTACCCAAAACAGCACTCTCCTCTGGGTGGCTGTGCTTTGCTGCTCTCTGATCTGAAGCTGATCCCATCCCTCTTCCCAGCAGGGAAAACAGGAGTGAGTTGGGTAGAGAGAAGGTGGAGGAGCTGGCTGAAATAGCAGAGTTTACAGCATTGGTAAGAAGCCATTAACTCCAACTACCAGGCTCTTGTCTAAAGGATTTAGAAGGACAAAAACTGCACGTGTTCATAGAGGACAGCAAAAATGTTTGTTTCAAAAATTCAAACCCAGTCTTGCCTTGAAGAACCAGCTTCATCTTATAACTTGTAAAGCAGTGAAAACTTGTCTGACAAAAACCACTGAAAGTCTGACAGAAGGGGAAAGTCTTAATGACTTTCACGCTTTCACTCTTTCTCCCTGAGATTTCTCTCACTCCCAGTCTCAAACCCACATGCTCAGTCAGTCTTTGTTGCCTGTGTTCCCACCCCAAGCCTCTTGTGCATGATTTGTTGTTTTTTGTTCTCAACCTTTTTCAGAGTGAGAAGGGCAAAGAGGAGCTCTCTCACCTGGATGCCAAGATGCATCAGCTGGGCTGTGAACCCCCTGAGTACAAGGCTGGTCACAGTGATGGCCTTGGCACTGCCCAGCTGCAGAGCCAGAGGCTTCTGGAGGCTGTGTGGCTACGAGGAGCAGAGATTGCTGCAAGGCTGGATCACCACCAGAGGCATGCAGCATGTTCGATGGAGATGGAGCTGCTCCAACAGCAGCTCCACGCCTCGCAGGAAAAGGTGGGTGGTCTCTGTGATGTTGGTATTTGAGTTCTGCCTGGGGCTGTCCTGGACACCTTCCCCAGTCAGAAAAAAAGGTGTCCTCTTCCTCTTTGTGGGAGACAAAGGATTCTCCCTCCTGTTCAAATATGGCTGAAGCCAGTTCACGTGCAGCTGGGGAGAGGTCCTTTCTTGCTTGTCCCTGTGATATCCCCCCTGTCCTTGTCCTGTGCAGGCTAGCTGGGCAGAGGAGATGGAGGCTGAGTGGAGGTGGCTCACACAGGGGTGCCTGCAGCTGTGGTTCCCCATGGCTCAGCTGACAGAGGAGCTGGAGGAGTAGTAGAATCAGATAAGGGTTGGGAAGGGATGACAACAGCCAGACAGGGATTGTTGAAGGATGGGAAATGAGGTGGTCAGGGTAGACTAACGTGGATCACCAGGGCAGAGAGAGGAAAGCCAATGTGAGAAACCTTGCAATGTGTTAATATCCCTCTCCTGCATTCTACCCTGGGGACTGGCTTTCCAAAGTACAGCTTACCCTTCCTAGCCATTCCTAGACAGCCTTAGTGCAAAGTTGGACCAGACCTGCATCTCAGTACCAGGTTTTCCCTTTGCTGGTGACAGGAAGCAGAGGACATCAGTACAGGGCATTTAGTATATCACAGCTAGCCTGGGATGTATCCAAGAACCTGGGTGAGCAGCTCCCTCTGTCTCTTGCCCTCATGGCAGCTCTTGGTGCTGGGATTCCCATCCAGAGAATCCCTCCAACTCCTGCTCCTTGCTACTCAGCAAGGGGAGCATCTCTGAGTGAAGGGCCTCTGTTTCTCTTCCTGCAGCTTAGTGCTCTCAATCCCTTGCTTTGCAGGCTGCTCAGTGAGCACCACTCCATGGTCCTGCAGGTCTTCTGTGCCCATGCTGGGGTGACAGCTGAGGGTGCTGTCTAACCTCTCCTCTCCCCTAAAACACAGACTGGGCCTGTCTTCTTGTTGACTCAAAGCTGTAACCAGCTGTCAACCTTTCTGTTAAAGCTTTTGGAAGCCTGGCCCAGGCACAGCACACTCTGCAGCTGCAGCAGGCCAAGGCCCAGATAAAAAAATGGTGCCAAAGAAGCAGTTTGAGCAGCTGCAAAACACCTTGAGAGAGAACAGTGCAAGACTCAGCAGCTCCAGGAAAGCCTCCAGCAGCAGGCTGAGCAAACATGCAGGCAGCTGATCAGGACCCAGGTAAGCAGGCAATTGCAGGAGCTCTGTCAAGGGTACTGTGAAGGGAACACTGGCAGCCTGGAAGGCAGCTGTGATTGAAGGCACCAGAGGTTTGGGTGGAAGATGGTAGATATAAAGAACCCACATGAAAAATGCACTTACCTTCAAATTCAGCTGCAACTTTAATTCTTTATGAATCCTCCAGTCACCACCCTGCACTCCAACAGGTGGATTTATCTCTAGGGCACTGAGTAACCAGGTGTTGGGTTTTTGTGAGTTTGTCTTCTGGGCAAAGATAGGCATATAACCTAAGGAACTATAATAAGCAGGCACAAGGACTGCATCCAAGGATACTTTGTCTCTCCCTGAGCTTTCCTGGACATGGCTGGGAGAGGGGAGACCAATGGCTTATTTTTATAGAAAACATTGCTGGAAAATCTGTGCCTTGTCTTAAAACTGATTGGGTGCAGACCTAGGGAAGGTTGTGCTGTTCTAGACGTCTGTCCCACTGCTCTTTGTATCCTGCACCTCTGATGAACCCCTCCTGCTCTGCCTCAAGGAGTGTGAAGGTCCATGAACGGGGCCTTGGGGAAGTGTACAGTCCAGGGTTGCCAGAGGCCAGGAGAGTGCTGGGACAACCCAAAGATAGGCTTTCTTGCCTACTGCAGGAGGAACACGAGCAGCTGCTGCAGGCAGCTTTGGAGGAGGCTGAGGGGCTGGAACAGAGTCTGAGGAATGCTGAAGCTCTGCTGGCAGAGAGGGCAGCTCAACTCAGAGATGCCCAAGTGAGTGCCAGAGGGGCTGCTGCTGTGTGTCCCTGCCCATGTGGTACCCCTGCATGGGATGCTGAACCTGAAGCCTCCTGTCCCTGCTTTAGGCCCAAGTCTCCAGGAACAAACTACTGATTGAAGAGCTCCGTGGAGAGAACAGGAGGTTTGCAATGGCCCTGCAGGCTGCTGAGCTGAAGCAGAGGAGCATGGAGGAGAAGAACCAGCTGTTGGAGGAACAAGCCTCAGCTCTGAAGCATCTTATTGGAAAAATCACACCAGCATCTCTGAGTGGGTGATGGGACATCTTCAGTGGCAGCTCCTGGGCCTGGCTGCAGCTGGTCAGGTGCAGAATGGGATATGGATGGGTTGGGAAATCAGCCTTGTCCTTTCTGGTCTTGCCAGGATTTTCCTGTGCAGAAAATAGCAAATGGGGAGCCTGGAGTTCTTTGAGGAAACTGGTCCTGTGAATAGCTGAATTTTCCAACTGAAAGCAGCAGCCTTGGTGCCTTTCTCAGTGGCAGTGTGCTGTTATGTCATGTCTGTCTCAGGGCAGCCATCTCACAGGATTTTCTTTGGCAGTGTTTGGTGGTGATGCAGGTGCTCCCTCTCTGCAGACGGTTGATGTTGGAGCCACATTTACATACTGAAAGCCAGGGCAGAAGGGCTTGCAGGTTGCCTGGCTTGCTCTGAGCAGGAAAGCTGAGTAGTTGCATTAAAATGTTTGTAATGTTACAGCACCTCCTGCTATCTCCAGTCTACTCTGTATTTCAGTAACTTTTCCCAGCTGCAGCTGAACATTTACTCCCGATAGCTGCTCCTAAAGCCTGAGCCTAGGATCCAAAACCAACCAGATTACTGTCTCTGCAGTGAGCAGGACAGAGCAATGCTGTAATATCCCAGGCATTCATCCTTTTCCTGCATTCTTCCCCAACTGTTTGCTTTTTCAGCTCCAGTCTGAGATGGGGCTAAGCAAACCTCTAGTCTTACCTAGGGCTAATAGTTTTGCAAGTGTTTTCCCAGACACAGTGTAAGAGCTGAGCAGCTCCATTAGGAACACCAGACACAGAAAGCAGCTCTTGTTCTGTTTTTGTGCTAACTAGAATCCTTAAAACCCTTTCCCACCCCTATTCCAAACAGCCTGTAGGCCCTGCCAGACCAGTGCTCTGGGATAATAGATTCTTCAGAGGAACAGCGGCACAGACCAAGCACAGTGGGAAAAACCCAGGCCTGTGACCCAGACTGCAATGATCATTCACAAAGCACCTCAAGAATCAACATTTATGGGTCTCTGTTGGGGACAAGGCTTCAGGTCTAATCCTTGAAAGAACCTTGTGCAGCCTTATCTGACACTTGGAGGAGCAGTTTCACTGAGATACTTAAATAACCATCACACTTCAGGGTCAGGGTGCGTTTGGCTGGAGATCAGAGTGCTGAATGAACATCACATTAACTCTTAAAAACTCAAGAGACTGAGGCTGAAGGAGTTCTTTATTTTGCAGCCATGAAGTTTTGCTGGCTTCTAGAGCCCAACCAGTTGGTGTCGTATTCCCAACATGCACAGTGTGAACTACTCCAAACCAAAATGCATTCACAAACCCTGGTTGTAGCTATGGGGCTTGGATAATGCCCCCCTGCTATCCTGGATTCCCAGGATTGCTGTATTACCAGCATGCACCCTTTGCTCATGAAGAGCTGTGGTTTTAAGGCATCAAAGGCTGTTAGGAGTGGCAGGATGCCACTGCAGAAGTACTGAGGTGTCTGAAGTCCTGCACATACCAGAGCTCAGTCCCCACTGTGGGCAGGCCACCAAGCAAGAGCTGTTCCTCCTGTCCTGCACACTTAGGACAGAACATGCTCCAGGACTCCTTGTCTGATCAACTGCTCGCATTTCCAGCGGGGTAAAAAGTGCTGCACAGGAACACAGAAAAACCCTCCTTGAATTTGTTGGATTTTTTGCTGAACACAACCAGCTGTTTGTTGTGCTGTACATCCAGTTCCTCATAGTGCCAGATCAGGCAGAGATGCACTCTGGACCATGCAGACGGCACGTGCAAGGAGCTGTGTGTGCAGGGACTGGGAGGTGCTGCAGGGCCAGCATCAGCCGGGGTACGTCATGGGAATGAAAGGGAAGGAAGAGAACAGACTACACTCCTGCCACAGGTACCTGGCTGTTCTTCTTCAAGAGGATGGTAGTGCCATCATCGATCTCAAATTCCCCATGGTCTCTTAAACACCGCACCTGCAAAGTGGAAACACAGGTCTGTAAGAGTTCAATGAAAAAAAACAACCACCCCCTCCGGGTAACAGTCCTTAGCATGGGAACATGGTTTCTAATTGGTCTAGTTAGTTAAGTTTCTACAAAAAGGTGCAAAAACCTCTTACTGAAAAACTCTTAATGGAAAACACCATTAACTCCCTGCAGACTAGAAATGCCATCTCTCAACATACTTTGTGCCCTCGGTAGAAACAGTAAAATGCTGGCAGGCAGAGTAAAACACAGAAACCTGTGAAAGCTTTGGAACTGTGAAAGGTTTTGCTTGATGAACGGACTTAGGATGGGGATGAAATGCTCGAAAGGAGATAGGAGAGTGTTTATTCATGGATAGAAACCAGAAATCTTGTACTTACTTCAATGTACAGGCTTTTAGGAGGTTTGATGTCCTGTGTGAGGTCCAGCCCCTCTTCTCCTCCTACTGACCTCATGTAAGTAGCCAGAGACTTTTTGTACTGATTGAACCACTCCACCTGTGGGCATTAACAGGGTTGTACCCACAGACAGTGAGTATGCACAAGTAAGTATTTACAGAAAGACATGTTAAATGTCATGTTTATAGTGGAGGGAAGACTACCCTATTTTGATTGTACTAAATAATCCATCAGGAGGATAATGTGGAAAGAGGGGAAGAGTTTAAAATGAGGCTGACTCACTTCCTCAGAGGACATGTGGAACTGGATGGTGTTGGGCAGAACGCTGCCATACTCCCACCTCAATGCACGGATCCGTAGCAACCGGTCATACCTAGGGGAAGAAATGGGGCAAGCCCACCACCTCTGCTGAGGTGAGTGCTGGCAACATCCCGAGGCACCCCTGATACCCAGTAGTCTAAACTTTTAAAGAGCAGGAGGAAGCAGAGCCTCCTCTTTGTGGTGATAGCAGCAATAAACACAAGGAAAACCAGCTGCGCAGCTACTTTGCTGCTCGTGGAAAAGCCACCTGCCCTGGCCGAGAGTCCCAGCATCCTGTGCCGGGAGGGATGAACCAAGGGGAGGCGGCCACCCCCCGCCTCACTCACAGGTAGGCCAGGAGGCAGCGCTGGTTCCGGAGCAGGCAGCAGTGCCGGAACCGGATGAGGAAGATCAGGTCAGTCCGTCCCGACTTCGCTTCGGACCTGGGGGGTGAAGGTAAGGAGAAAGAGGCGTAGGAGGAGAGTTGCGGGCCGGGGAGTACCTGCGGGGTATCTGCGGGACGCGCCGGGAACAGGCGCCCAACTCACACGTCCGCCTGGTTACGCTCGTACAGTGCCCGCATCTCCTCCAGCGCCTGCCGCATCTCATCCGTCTGCAACAGCGGGCACAGTCAGTGAGAGCGGGCGGCCGGTGGGGCCCATCCCGGTGTTCCCGGAGCTCACCCGGAAGGGCGGGAGGTGCCCGCCGGCGGCACGGTGCAGCTCCCTCACCAGCTCCAAGCATCGCTCCGCCGCCATAACGCCCGGCCGCGCGCGCGGGAAACCTGCCCGCGCACCAGCCAATGGCGCTAAGGGGCGGGGCCAGCCACAGCCAATGGGAAGCGACGGCAGCGGCCCCGGAGCCTGCCGTTAGCTGCGCTGAGTTGCGCCGGTCTCGACGGGCGCGGGTGACCCCGCTGCGGTATTCGGCCACCGCCCGTGACATTCGTGGGGGCACGCTGAGAGCCTCCGAGGGGCTGGAGCAAAAATCAGAATTTTTACCGCACAGCTTCCTCCAGCAAGCCTATTTTCTCCAGTCCTCTGCCCTGTTTCCCCCAGTCCTGAGGTGCCGCACTGGGCTGCCTATGGCAGCTTCCTCCCCGTGCTCCCCCAGCCCTTCCCAGTGCGTTTTTCCCTTTTGACAGCCTTCAAACCCGACGGATGCCAGAACTAAAGGGAGAAAAAGAAAAAAAGACATGGATACATTTGTGGATGGGATGGGAATTTTTTTAGCACTCGAAGCCCTGGACAGAGTTTCAATAACCCAGGACCACAGCTTGTCCTGCTCCAGCAATTTTTATTTTCTCTGACCATGTGTTTCGTATGGTCATTAGACATAAAAAGCCAGCAGCGTTTCCTGTGCGACTGCAGTCCAGACTGGGAGAGTGGGGAGAGCACGGTGGGGCTCTCGTCCCACGGGTGAGACATCCCTGCTGCTTGTGCTCAGGATGATATGGTACCCGCACAGCTGAGCAGAGACGGTATCTGGCCCAGGCAAGAGTATTTTAATGATCCCAACCACTGTTTTACTTGGAGGTTTTAGGCATGGGGGCGGAAACGTCCAGAAATGCTCCAGCCAGCTGGAGATGGGATTCTGAGGGTCTGTTCCCCAAAATGAACTGTTTCCTGGCCGCAGTGCTGCTGCCAGATGTGTCTGCAAGGACACCCCCACTTCCCTCCCATCTAGCCTGTGGCCCGGCAGAGGTGCGGGGCCTGAGGAAGGTGTTGTGAAGTGCCTGGGATCCCCAGAGCGCTGTCACTGCAGGAGCGTCAAGTCTGGTTCGTCATTCATCATCGCATTCTGCGGTGATAATGACCCATCTGAGCCAGGAGAGATAATAGCAATAAACAGACATCCCGAATGACAATTGTCCCTGCTGAAAATTGGTTGCTGCCTCTTGCCAAGGGATGGAAATGTAGCTGAGCCTTGATTGAAAAATGCCGGGGAAACTGCCTTATTTTATTGCTTTGCCAGATTGAAAAAGCCTCATACATAAAAATAGACCAAATGAATGAAGAATTTACAAACATCTATATTTTGTGTTAGGAATTGTGTTAAAATTAGGAAAACAGCTGAAGACACTGATTTATACAACTGTGACTTTTTCAGGCAATGAAGGTTTACATATCACAGTTTAACAAGATAAAAGATCTCCCACAAAATACATAGATGACAGATGACTCATCTGAATTTGACATTACACAGCATCAAGTACACATGTAATGTGATGAACAGTGCCAGGTCATTCCCCAGTTAGGTAACATACAACCTCTTGAATAAGGCAATTCAAATATAAATCTTAATTCAAATCACAACATACCCAGGCAGCATGCAGGGAAAAGTAATTTATTTTGTATATTGAAATGACACAACTTGCAACATGTTTCCATTTTATGTAGTTAGAGCAACAGGATATAAACCATTCAAATAATATATATATATTTATATATATCTCAAGTTAACAGTTGTCTTTACTGGAATAAAGATTATCTGTTTTTGGTAAAAATAAAACTATTTGAATTCACTAATTAACAAAATGCACAGTGATCAGAAACCCAGTTCTTCTCACCATTGTCTTCCCTGTCTCACTTGCATTTCTCTGTGACGCAGCAGCTGCACAGCCCTGGATTTAGAGAGGCCATTGCACAGAGGAACAAAGATTCCCTGCCACGTGGTCCCCACGGCTGCAGTGTGCCACCTATGCCCCACGGACAGCAGTTATCACACCCATCACACCCTATGGCTTGGAAAATGCTTTTCCCACCTGCCTTCCCAATAAAACACACACGTGCCTGACCTTG